ACTTAGTATGTTTTAAATACGTTTTAAAAGGAAAGAAGTAGCATCAATTTGAACCTTGAAAAGTAGCTGGAACTTTTGTTTTCAGAACACATAGTTACCTTAGTGAGGCGCATGTACATGAACTATGAGGAAAAGAAAACTGCAATGAAAGATAATGGTTTAAATTTCGGCTACTAGATGGCGCTTTTCGTGCAATGTAGAAAGGGTGTAAAGCAAATTCTGAATTCTGTAGCATGCCAGAAGTCTACTAGAAAATCATTTTTCATCGTGCCTTTAAGAGAATCGAGCTTTACTGTTTCATCAGAACTGCAGTATTACCGTCAACAGTATGAGCTTTTGAAAGACTTCCGAAAGGATCTATGTCAAAGAAAGTTTTGAAACAGATGATTACTAAATTTGAAGAGACTCAGAGATTGTGTACTGCCAGAAAGAGGATGGAAAGTCTAGAAGAAATCTCTGTTGCTGTGTATGACGGAACGTCCAGTTCGCGATATTCCTCGGCAAGGATGTCACGTGCTTTGTCCATCCCTTATCTGTGGTACGAAAGGTTTCCCTTTTAAAGTGGTGCCCATTTAAGATGTGCATGGTCGAAAGTTTTACCCTCAAAACCCACATCAGTGCAATGATTTTGCTTGCAAATTTTTATCGAGTATAGCAGTTGACAATGTAGTGATCTTGGAGCATTTTTAGTTAAGACGAGGCGCGTTTTTGCTAGGCAGAGCAGGAAACACTCAGGTCCCGATATTGCGCAAGAATAGTCTGTACATTCTGACTTCATTCTTGGCTCATCTGAGGAGAGTGCTCCTCAGGGATGTTAAAGATGTACAGTTACTAATGCACGCTGCTGCGAGCTTCTACAGTAGCAAGTCTTTTCTGTCTTGCAAGAAAGAGAATATTGTCTGCATGCAAGATGGCGCAAAACTCCATATTCCACGACAAGTAAAGAAATTGCTTTATGCTTACTTTGGAGGTGATAAGGTAATTTCGAAAGGTTTTACGAAATGCTTGGTTTCCTCTTTCTCATAGTTTATACTGTTAAACATAGTATAACGCGTTTTGAACACACGATTTACGCAAATGAAATACACGTTGAAGAAATGGTATGATTAAATACTTTGTGTTTCTTGTCATTTATGCGTCTGGTTGTCAAAATTTGAACCATTATATTTTATTTCAGTTCCCCCGAATAGTCTAAATAACGTTTACCACGTTTTCTAAATTTTTAACACAAAGTTAACGCCAAGTTTCAAACGAAGTACGTCAGAGAGAACAGTCTGTATAATATAGGTCTGAGTAAGATCACTTTAAGTATAACTACCTTGTATTATATTGTTATAAAATAGAAGTTCTTGCCGTTGACATAAATGAGTATACGGTTTTTAAGGCTATTTTAATCATATGAAAAGCCTCTGTTCGTAATGCGATTTTGATTACCGGCATCGATAATGAACAAGGTATCTTGTTGTGTTTAATTTTTTGCATAACTTTTATTAACTCTTTTTTTTAATAATGTTTATCATTTCAAATGTCTAGCGCACGAAAAACTGTGACTGTAAATCAGTATTTTGTTAGTTGTTAAAAAAACTCGGTTAAATAGGTGCGTATTAACTTTAGCAAGTGAAATGTAACTTTCGAAGTTAATTTTGTTTTTCAATTGACTTTGAATTTTCTCTTTGAATGCATTTCGAGTGGGACAAAAGGTGGGTTTTTCATCTTTATTCAAATTCGTCCCACCAGTAGCCGAATAGTTAAAACGGATAAATGTTGGCAGTTCGTCCTGCTTTCCAACCCAGATGAATGGACTGTCTGAATAATTGTTTTTGCGATATGTGACGGTAACGAGCCAATTTCGTTTGGAATGTCGTTCACGAAAGCATCCGTCCGTTTTCCAGATAAAGCCTTATGACCTTTGCCATATTTTAGTAATTATCATCGAAAGAAATTATTCTGAGCAAAGCATTTAGATTTCAAACGCATAACACCATGGATCACTAATGCCATCACTTTTCCTTTAACCATTTTTTTTTTCTGTTTTTCTCGGTAGATGACACTAAATGTTTGTCGGATTTAATGCACATAATAATTGAATTGTGCTTTTGGGCGTAATAATTTCCTTCCGAAGAAATAAAACGATCATTTGCCTTTTAAAATATATTGTTACGAAATGTTCAGGCGCGGTAAGATGACTTCCCCGCAAAGCGGTTTTAGGGTTGCCATAAAATAGGGAGACAGGCAGGGTTGCCACATTTGGCGATATGCCATGGACGGATGAAGAACCTTCTGGAACGAATTCTTACCAGTTTAGCCCAGAATGTTCTCGAACACGAGCCGAAAGCTATATAAACCCTGCTGGTCCGCAGTCAGTGTGTGAGTGCCTCATCAAGAGTGCGAGATAGTTGGTCTCGAGTTAGTATCGAGTTGCTGTCTCGTCTAGCGAGTCAATCCCTGCGGAGTCGATCGAGTTGACAGCCGGGCAGCGAATGCCGATTGGGTCGTCGAGTGCATCGAAGAGTCTCTTAGTGCATCGTCGAGAGAGCGGGTTGAGTTCCAGGAACGACTGAACCGAGTCGGGAGCCGTGCTCTGTGTGTCGTCGAGTGCGTCGCGAGTTGTAGCGTGGAGAGTCTCGAAAGTACGTGGAGTTCCGAGAACGACCGAGCAGAGTCGGGAGCTGTATTCTGATGCTTTGCCGTGAAGCTGTCTCCACCATGATAGCTTGATAACCTGAAAGCTGTGTCGCTGATCTTATCAGCGTGTTTATAACAGTTCGACGACTGTAAACGAGATTTTGGAGCTGTCCTGATTAATACCGGCCAATAAAGTGTGTTTCGATACTTCATCCAATGTCGTCGTTATTCACTCCACATCTACAAACGTGAATCAAGAAAATAACGTAACAACTGGTGTCAGAAAAGAACGTAACAATATTTTTCGGTTTTAAGGTAATACCGAAGAAAATCTGAATTTTTTAAATTCCTAGTTTGTTTGTTTCAAAATTTGAAAGGTTATGTAAATATTTAAGCAAGAAGATTTTAGCTAACTTTCCAAGTAAATAAATTAGTTTATTAATTATAGCGTTTCTGAGTTTTAATGAAAGAAAAATTTTAGATCTTGCTTTAGGTTCCTTTTCTTCTTTAATCTGACGGTAAGAATTTAGTATATTTAAGGGAAGCGAAAGACAGTTTCGTGAGTGAAGAGTTTTAATTTTGGGATTTATAATTGCCATAAGTGAACTAAATCATTCCAAAAAATTCGCATTCTGTCTTAATATATCTGTTAAAATGTATCAATGACTGCAGTATATTCTTGCGTTATAAAAGTTTAAAACAAAGACTATAAAACACTTACATAAAATTTGACATTTATAAATGTGCTTATTCTGACAATTCCTCAGATTCCATTTGATACAGCCTCTGTTTGTCTTATTATTTTTACTTAGGAATCGAATTTATATATTTCACAAAATTATTGTTTAGAACCTAGGATATAAGGTTGGATTCCTAAACTTGCAACCGATACAAGCATTTTCCGTCTTTAATTTTAGAATTATAAGAGGGTATCGTATGAAGTAGAATCAAATAAAAATATTTTTCTAAAAACGTTATTTATTTTTAGTCCAAAGGGGCTTTGTCCGTGAGGGACTATTGTTTTCGTTTTGCGATTTTGCATCGAATCACTCTGAATGTCCGTTTCACTTTTCAAGCAGTTGCCACCAAATATTATCACCCTGTATTATATTTGAAGAAATTAAATAAGGAAGAATCTGCATAAATGTATGTATGTTTCTACGCTCTAATAATACAACGGTACCTAGAGCCATCCAGTTTTGAATGACGTAATCCTACTGCGAATATGGGCATCTAGAAGCCCAAATTTGAAATTTGGAATAATTTGTTTTATTTTATCAAACTTTAGAGAATTTTTGATTAACAAACTGAAGGATTTCAAGCGAGGCACCAAGCAATGGCACCGTTGTACAGAAAAAAAAAAAAAAAAAACATTTTTGTCTCCAGCGCGTGAGACTGTGCATCGAAAATTCTAAAGATATGCTCAATTTAAGAGGTATCAGCAACCCCTATACCGACAATGTTAAATTGGCCATTTTCGATGTACCTTTTCTCAAAATCCCTTGTAGATGCACGCTTGAAATTTTTTGTGTAATTAAAGTATACCTATCTGATTTTACTGAAATGAGCTTTTGAAACATTTTGAAAATTAGAGTAATTTACAGAATAGTTTGTTAGGTATAGTAAAATTTAGCACTTTTCTCACACAAAATTTTTTTTAAATATTTTTTTGCTTGGTTTATCACAAAAACCTCATTTCAGTAAATATTAGAAAATCTAATAAATAGCCATAAAATTTTTAAATGCCTGTGAGCAGTAGTTTCTAAGAAAAGGTACATCGAGTATAAAAAAAATCACGTTTGGAGAAAAACGCGTTTTCATGTAAAAATCGTCATTGATCAAAGCGGTCGATGACAAATTAATACTAGATTTTTTACAGTTATAATTTTCATAGTGATTAAAGAGTGGTATTTTTAGAAAGATAAAAGTGTAAAGAATTTGAAAATGCAAAAATCCGAAATCACAATTTTTTTGAAGGTTTTTGGGGTCCATTAAAATTTTTTGGTGATATTGGTCTTGAACTGAATTTTATGCTTCAAGTGTGAAGAACATGATATTTAATCAATGACGGTAACACACAAAATGTAAAAAAAAAAAAAAAGGCCCCTTTGGACGTACTTCAAAATCGGATACCTTTCAGATTTACTTTTCTTTCTTTTTATTTTGTTTTTAATATTAAAATAAGTAAAAGTTTATTATCGTGTTATTAAGTTATTTTAAAATTTCTCATAACACGGTACCTCTCGAAAGAGGTATAGTATGAAGAGGGAATATCAAGGTGAATGTTCGAAAATAATATCTTTGAATTTTTATATGGCCCCGTTTTTATCTTCCTCCTGTTCCGAGTACGGTAAGCAAACCAGGTGGAAAGAACGAGCACAGCTGTGCTGCCTCGCGTCTCTGTTCACTTAGCGTGTGTTTCTTGTCTAGTTTTTCCCTTACGTCTCAAAAAAATTACCTTTTGAAACTCTTTTTCAACGTTTACTTCCGAGCAACTCTTTGAAGACCCTCTTACGGTGGGGTTGTAACTGCCCTTGCAAGATTCTATGGATGCTAGCAATGCGGGAGCCGATTGGTTATGGACCGCCAGCCGAGGTCTCTGCTGCCGACGACGAACAGGTGAGAGTGATGCTGCTGTGGATGTGTGTGTTTGGTATTCGCAGGTGTTTTTATGTATGACGATGGTGTATGTGTTTCTTTCTTGTGCTATTCGCGCTTGTGTGGTTTCATATCTAGAGCTGTATTCAGATAGTATTGCTAGTAGCCTTGGAAGTTAGGAATTTTTTATGGTGTAAGATTAATGCAGTTTTTTTCACTATTCTGAGTTGACGCTTCGAATGAAATCTGTTAAATGTTTCCCAACCGTATATGAATCTTAAAGAATTTTTTATGGTGTAAGATTAATGCAGTTTTGTTCACTATTCAGAGTTGAAGCTTCGAATGAAATCTGTTAAATGTTTCGCAATCGTATATTAATCTTAAAGAATTTTTTATGGTGTAAGTTTAATGCAGTTTTGTTCACTATTCAGAGTTGACGCTTCGAATGAAATCTGTTAAATGTTTCGCAATCGTATATTAATCTTAAAGAATTTTTTATGGTGTAAGTTTAATGCAGTTTTGTTCACTATTCAGAGTCGACGCTTCGAATGAAATCTGTTAAATGTTTCGCAACCGTATATGAATCTTTAGGAATTTTTTATGGTGTAAGATTAATGCAGTTTTGTTCACTATTCTGAGTTGACGCTTCGAATGAAATCTGTTAAATGTTTCGCAACCGTATATGAATCTTTATTTTGAAGCGCTTTTTAGAGGTTGGAAAATATTACTACGTGCATTTCTTAGCCCTTCCTCTCTTACTGTGCTCACACTTGAAGAAAAGGAGACCAATCCCCCCCCCTGTAAACCACATCGCTGCTTATTATGTAACTAAATATTATCATTTAAGTGCAAAACAGTGTATACAGGAAGTGGCAGGTAGTTATCAAACGCAACTGTAAATGAAATCTGTTTCATTACACCAGAGCCTGATCGCTATAGGCATGAACCTATGACATTAGATTATAGAGGGCCCCAGAACGAAAAAGGAGGTGTTTTAAGGTCCCCTAGATCAGGGCTTCTTAAACGTTTTTTCAGTCGCGACCCAGTCACTGAGATTTTTTCGCGACCCCAGGACCCCATAATATTTACGAAAATTTTGTAAATATACTTCCAATCAAAGAAATATTTTAAATGAAATATAAGTATTCATGTTTTGACATTTTTAAACCGTAAAAGTCAATTTTGTGAAGATGAAGGAATCTAACGTTTTACAGTGAAACCTCGAGATACGAGCACCTCTATATACGAGAAATTCGAGATACGAGGAAAGTATGAGCGAAACATTCGTCTCTAAATACGAGCATTGACTCGAGTAATAAGCAAGGAGCCAGGCTGCTGGTATGAGTGACGCCATTTCCCGATCCGTCTCGACTAAAGAATCCCCCAGTCAGATCACTCAGTGTTCTTTGATCCACGTTATGGGGTCCCACAAAATTTTCGTAAATATTATGCACGTAAACGCACATAAAATTTTCGTAAATATTTGCACTGCGCAAATCCGACACATGCGTGAGTGAAACTGTCATTTTTTTCACTTGTACTGTAATATACTATTGCAGTTTTAGGTCGTTAACTTTACTTTCTAATTCTAAGACATAGAACAATGTGAAAATTTTAAATAAGTGACGGGCGGAAATGACAGCGTCACGTGCAAAGCAAGTAAAATTAACGTTTTATATTATAAAAAGAATGAGTCGAAACGTTTTCGTTTTTTTCTTTGTCTGTATTGTCTTATTATCTACTTTCAAATACATTGTGTAACAATATTTGGTAATTGTAAAATTATTATAATAAGTTAAAAGAAATATCAAAACTGCTAAAATTTTTGGCGACCTCCTAGGGGATCGCGACGCACAGTTTAAGAAACTCTGCCCTAGATTAAATTAATAGGGTCTTGATCTTAATACTTGCCAGTATTTTCAGTTGATAGTATTTAAAAAAATTATTCATATTCACATCTTTAGCTGAGCTTAGTCTTTCCAGCTTTTTGCACCGTTATATTATGCTATTGTGCATTTATCATCTATAGGATTTAGTAACTATGGCCGTCGCATGAAAAGTAGGAACTTAGTAACAGCTTGAATTTATCTGTGAGGCAAATTCTTAAGCGTAAAGTGTTTTATGTGCGCTCTGAAAATGACTGTCTTCACGAAATACGAGTGTTACTTAGTGCAGATGTTTCTCTGTCTTATAATAAAGAGGTTTATCTGTTTTTACATTATGAAATGAAAACATTGCCTAATCTAGTAATATATGTTTTTCAGCCTGTCATAAAATATATTGTTTATTATTTTAATTAAAAGGAAACCATAAGAATGCTAAATACTCTATATTTAAAATTTTAATAACATTTCTTTTTAGCAGAAATATTAAACTTTTGCGGTATAATATATTTATATTCTTTATTTTATAAAGCTCCGTTTCTGCCGGAAATAAATGCTCTAATGGACAAGAATGTTTAGAATTTGTCATCTTTGGGTACGACAGTTACTTGCAAGTGAATAGCGATATCTGTCACTTTATTTTCCTTTTGCACATTTCTTTTTCTTGTGGCCTACCAGCGGCCGAGCGGTAAAGTCGCTGAACACTGGTAGTTCGGTCCGAGGTTCGATCCCGCGAACGGGCTGGCTGCATGGGTGTTTTCGTGGTTTTCCCCATGTGTAACGTGTATACGAGCCAGTTTCCCTTAGAAAGTCCTCCACGAAGGCATCCCTCCCCTTAGGCAGATAGCCCTAGTGTGCTTTGCCATAATTAAATGCACACACACACACTTTTTCTTGTCTCGCAGGGGGGGGGGAAATGTGTCGCTAAAATTTCAGGCTTTACAACAAAGAATTTCAAGAGCGGAAGATTGATTCCAGTATACGAATTTTATTTAATCGTTCTGAAAAATGGAAATCTGATAAACTTAGTATAGAATTTTTACGAAGTTGTTTTTTTTTTTTTTTTTTTTTTTTTTTTTTTTTTTTTTTTTCAAATGCAAAGCGACATTTAAACGGTTAATTTTTCTTGAATATATTAAATTTATATATACTCTGAAGATTATAACAAATTATAGTATATAAATTTTCCTGCGTAAAATATTTCTTTTTACGTGATCACCTTAAATTTTTCATGAATTTTCTTTAAATTTAATTTAATAAATTTTTCATAAATTTTAGGTATTTCCTCAAAGGAAGTGTTTTGATTCAACTGTTTGTAAAATTTTTTTATACCATAGAGTTTCATTTAAAGTGGCTATGGTAATTAATGCACTAAAAGAGAAAAAGTATTTATCACATACATAGTTTAACGGAAATAATTCTATTTACAAAATTTCATCTACAGTTTTATATCGTGAATAATAAAAATCCGGGGCGCCCATGATAAAATAAAGAGAATTCATTTAACAAGGCAATTAAATTTTTGAAAAATTAAAAATAATCGCTTCCCCGCGCTTCTACTATTTGCGATATAAAATTGTAGATGATTTCTATTATAAATGCTGTTATTACTAATCTCAGTTGTCTGATTTAATCAGAACAAGTCCACGAATTATTATCGTCGCAAGGAGCAGGAGATTGCGTCTGGAACCCACAGCCTTGAGCCGCGTATAAGTGACAGTCGAAATTTATGCTCAGTTTCGCCCCAGTTTTGAAGGAAAGCACCACAGGGGGGGTTGGTCCAAAGGTCTCACATCCCCTTTTCCCTTACCATGTACCTCTCGAAAGGACTTTTGTCTCGGCACATATTTTGAATGCTTCCATGCTTGCACAGACGCTTTACATTTACAAACATCCATGCCTTCTCCGGGATTCGAACCCGGGTCCTTCGGTGCGGCAGTCAGCATCATTAACCACTTTACCGTCTGGGTGGCATTGTGTGAACATTATTATTCAATCTCTTATTCCCATTAAACTATATGATAAACTATTTTTAATCTCAGTTGCACGTCGTTATCAGTGATAAAATTTTTAGTTAACAAGCATTTTTACTGAAACTTAAAAGGGGTGGGGGAAATGTTGATTAAATGCGCCAGAATGGAAAACTCAAAAGCAATTTTTCTCCTGTCTGCTTGAGACTAGACTGCGACACATTTTTCTAAAAAAAGTGTAGAAAACTTGTGCAGTTGATTGTTTTAAAAATCATTCTAGTTTTAAAAGAGGGCGAAATGCTTGTTTTATAATCTGTGAAAATTTGAAATCTTTATATCCGATACATGTTTATATGATGAAATTTTAAGAATTATAAAGTTCAAATAGTTGAAAAAAAATCGAGAAATATTCAATTACTCCCCTTTACGGCGAGGCGTCCATGGCCTGGAAATGTTTGAAATTAACTGTGTAAATACGCTGGGTTTCGAACTACGTATCTGTGAATGTTATATGTATATATTATTGCTTCATAAGGGGCTTGTAGTTTCGAAATGGGATTTTGCGCCGAATCACTATCGATGCGTAATTTCGCTTTTGATTCGAGTCTATTGCCTTCGGCAAAATGTAAGATGTTTATTCGGATGGAATCTGTATGTTGTGGGTCGACAAACTAAGCTATTTGAAAGCAATAAATGCGGTTCTTAAGAATATTCGTTTCTTCCTTTTGAATCGGATCAATTTAAATTATAAAAATGCATTTAATTCATGATCTATCTAAATAAAAATATTCGATATTTCCATAGAATGACGTTATATATATGTGATGTACCAGCTTTTGTCCAGAATAAAAGATTGGTGGAGAATCATAAAATGTAGTCGTAGCTTAAATTATCAGACGATAAGTTTAAAAAACAAGGATCCATTTATTATTATTCAGGAGAAATAGCAGTTACAAAATCAGATATCCGGAGTAAATAAAAAGAATTAATAATAACTTTTTGTATGAAGTTTACTGCATCGTGACATTTAAGAAAAAGCCCCCGATATTCCTTTGCGAGTCCTTTTATAGCCTCTGGGAAGGCGGAGCTTCCAAGAAATAACGTCAGCCTCGTCAGCCAATCCAGTTCGCTTTAAATATTTCCAGAACATTTTTAAAACTGTACGTGT